ACATATTTTACTTCCAAAATGTGTTTCTAAATCAGGGGTTTGGAACATATTTTTTTCCCTCATTTAGTCATTCAACAAAGATGTATTTGTGTTCAGGCTCACTGACCCATAGAAACCATGCTATAAATGTGAACTAATTCCCAGGCTAGCCCAAAGCCAATTTAATCCATAAGGTATGTCATATGAGCTAGCCTCAGAACATAACCCATGTCTAGAACATTTTAAGGAAAACGCAGACTTGAGGACTTCATCGCCTATATCCTGCCAAATTATACCTTCCTGTCCCTCTAAGATGAGAGCATGGTACCGTAGGGGTGCCTGCCCACCCCCTATGCCTAGTCAGGTACCAGGGATCATTCTGTTGTTTGGGCTGAGGAAAAGGGCTGGCCTATGTTCTTTTCAATTCATTTTATATTTTATTATTTAATTGTACAAGTGATGCATGAGCACATGCTCATTTTAAAAAATTTAAACAATAGTATAGCGTAGAACGGAGTCCCCGGGTGGTACAAATGGTTAACACAATCGGCTGCTGTCTTAGTCATCTAGTGCTGCTGTAACAGAAATACAAGTGGATGGCTTTAACAAAGAGAAATTTATTCTCTCACAGTCTAGTAGGCTAGAAGTCCAAATTCAGGGCATTAGCTCCAGGCGAAGGCTTTCTGTCTCTGTCAGCTCTGGAGGAAAATCTTTGTCATCAATCTTCCCCCGGTTGAGGAGCTTCTCAGGCACAGGGACCGCGTGTCCAAAGGACGTGCTCTGCTCCCGGTGCTGCTTTCTTGGTGTATGAGGTCCCCAACTCTCTGCTTGCTTCCCTTTCCTTTTATCTCTTGTAAGATAAAAGGTGGTGCAGGCCACACCCCAGGGAAACTCCCTTTATGTTGGATCAGGGCTGTGACTTTAGTAAGGGTGTTACAATCCCACCCTAATCGTCTTTAACGTAATATTACAATCACAAAATGCAGGACAACCACACAATACTGGGAATCATGGCCCAGCCAAATTAATACACACATTTTTGGGTGGACACAATTCAATCCATGACAGCTGTTAACTGAAAGGTTGGCTGTTGGAGTCCACCCAGAAGCACCTCGAGAGTAAGGCCTGGAAAACTGCTTCTGAAAAATCAGCCGTCGAAAACACTATGGAACACAGTTCTATCTGACACACATGGGGTCGCCATGAGTCGGAATCGACTTTATAGTATACAACTATATAGAGTACAAAGTGAGAGTCTTGCTTCACCATCCCCTTAACCCCTCACCTCTTCCCACACATGAATACTTGCAAACAAGCGGGTGCATATATCTTTATACTTCTTGTTTTATTCTGTTTTACATAAATGGGATCATTCAATATGCATTATTCTACGACTGACTCTTTTTCACGTGGTTATCTTGTAGCACTTTTCCCCTAAGGACATAAAGATCTGCTGTATTCTTTTTGCTCGCTATATATTATTTCGGAGCTCTGGTGGCGCAGTGGTTAAGAATTATGGCTGCTAACCAAAAGGTTGACAGTTCGAATCCACCAGCCACTCCTTGGAAACCCTTTGGGGGAGTTCTGTTCTGTCCTATAAGGTCACTGTGAGTTGGAATCGACTCGACGGCAATGGATTTGATTTTGGTTTGTGTATGTATAAATGTAGCAGAGTTTATATATCTACACTTCCCGTATTGAAAATTGTGTCCAACTTTTCACTGTTAAGGTCCCTGGGTGGTGCAAACAGTTCGCACTCAACTACTAACCTAAAGATTGTCAGTTCAAACACACCCAGAGCACCTCGGAAGAAAGGCCTTGCAATCTGCTTCCATAAAGATTACAGCTAAGGAAAACCTTTGGAGCAGTTCTACTCTGTAACACATGGGATCACCATGAGTTGGAATTAACTCGATGGCAAAGGTTTTTTTTTTTAGTTTTCACTGTTACTAACAGTGCTATAGTGGACACCTTGGTACACATAAATATCTTTGTACACATGTGAAAGCATTTTCTAGGATTAATTCCTGTAAGAGGACTTCTGTATCAAAGTATATTGCCTTCTAAAATACAGTACCCAGTAGACACTAACACCCACTGTGTATATAAATGCCGCATTCCACACACCTTTACAGACTCTAGTATGATCAATCAGTTAAATTTTTTTCCAATTTGATGCTCAAAAAATATTTTTTGATTATAGCGGCCACTTCCTTGATTGCTTGGGAGGCTGAACACCCTTCATATGGCTATTGGCAGTTGCATATTTGGCCATTTTTTTTAATTGAATTGTTTCCTTCTTGCTGTATATTAGGGACAGTAAGCCTATGTAGTTTCTTACCTGTCATGCGGCTTTGTTTACAGTGCTCTTCCTTCTAAGGCGATTTTTTAGTTTTTACGTGGTCAAACCTGCTGGTGTTTCTTTTTTGCTTTTTAGTTTTGGTTCCTGCCTTCCTCTCCCAAATTTATTTTAAAAATGTGTTTTGTATTTCATTCTAATTGATTATTTGGGGAATTTTTTTTTTTTTAAATGTATAGTGCTTTAATCAATCTGGAATTTCTTTTTTGGTTGTTTTGTTTACCTTTTATTGTGAAAAACCTCCAGCATAGACGTGTTATTTTGAAGGAAATATCTGTGTAAGTTTCAGCATATTATCTCTAAAAGATGAGGACTCATTTTTGAAAACGTAACCATAATATCATTATCACATCTAAGAAAATTAACAATAATGTGTTCCTTAATATCATCAAAAATCCCATGTCTCGTAGCGTCTGGGGTCTTAAAAGCCTGTGAGCAGCCATCTAAGATACTCCACTGGTCTCATCCCTTCGGTAGAAAGGGAGAATGAAGAGAACAGGATACAAGGAAAAGATTAGTCCGAAGGACTGATTGTCCACAGCTACCAAGGCCTCCACCAGACTGAGTCCAGTACAGATAGATGGTGCCCGGCTACCACCACTCACTGCTCTGACCGGGATCACAACAGAGGATTCTGGACAGAGCTGGAGAAGGATGTAGAACAAAATTCTAACACACAAGAAAAAGACCAGATTTACTGGCCTGAAAGAGACTGGAGAAACACCGAGAGTGTGGCCCCCAGACACCCTTCTAGCTCAGTGGTGAAGTCACTTCCAACGTTCACTGTTCAGCTGGGGATTGGACAGCCCCATAAGGGCTGTATTTTAGAAGGACTAGTGAGGCACAGCCGTCCAGGGGCAAGGACTAGAAGGCAGAAGGGGACAGGAAAGCTGGTGATAGGGAACCCAAGTTTGAGTAAGGACAGTGTTGACATGTGGTGGGGTTGTTAACCATTGTCATAGGGCAACATGTGTACTAACTATTTAACGAGAAACTATTTTGTTCTGTAAACCTTCATCTAAAGTGAGAATAGCATCACAACTGGAAGAGGGTAGTCGATGTCACTGAACTGTGCATGTAGAAATTTTTGAAACGGTGTATCTTTGGCTATGTATATTCTCACCAAAGAAAAAGAAAGTCGAGAAGGGAGAGGGTTGACATGTTGTGGGGTTGTTAACCAATGTCATAAAACAATATGTGTACTACTGTTTCATGAGAAACTATTAGTTCTGTAAGCCTTCACCTCAAGTACAATAAAAAAATAAAAAAAAAACATTCCTTTGGAAGGTTGTACCAAGGACATTTTGATTAAGATTTGGGTGTTTCCTCAACTCTTCAGCCTT